TTAAATAATGATTTTATTTATACTTATATATGTATAGACACAAGTAAGCTTTGCAAAATGAAAGGTGACCTCACCTTTTCGCGTAAATTGAAAGTCCTTTAATTGCTGAAAATAGATGAATTCCCATTGACGTCACAAAAAGTATTCGCAAAGTTCAGCTTTAGTCGTTAGAACAGAGTACGATATTTGGGAATTCTGAAGCCGGACCCATCATATTTAAACAATGAAAGCAGTTTTCCAACTGAGAGAGGCTATCAGCATTAGCTGTGGATAGGTGGCAGGCTCAGACATGGTAGCCGTTAGTTAAGTTGGTTGCTATGGCGTGAACAACGGTTTACATCCCGCTTGAGGGTGTTTGGTTTTTAATGTGTTATGAGACGATTTAAGATGACGAACTGGCGCTGGTCCCTAATGGCGGAACTTGCCTGAATGGTTTAAAGTAACTGTCTCGCTTGACAACAAGAGCTCGGTTTAGAATGCCCAAAACACGCAGCCACTTTTATGGCGCGTTAAATGCCGTCTAAAGGTGCCGGCAGCCATTGCCCGGGACATAAGCTTACAAGTGTACATGTTGGGAAGTTGGGTTTCGGCAAATCCGTTAACAATTTCAGATCGCTGAAAATTTTCTTTCGTCCGATAGTTTGGTTGAAAGAACTTCGTTAGGGGGAACTTCATTTCGAATGAAAGTGTATAAAGAAGAGATTCGTTGGTCGATGTCACCAGATGAGGACGGATGAATCTCGTTGTACTGCAGCCCCTTGGCTTTTAGACGATGTACATGTTGACGCAGTCCACGAGACTTCCTCCCTCGTTTCGGGTGAAAAAGTGCGTCAACAGGAATATGGTATAAAAGTCAAACAGCTGCAGTACAACGAGATTCATCCGTCCTCATCTGGGGAGATCAACCGACGAATCTCTTCTTCATGCACTTTCATACGAAATGAAGGTGCCTCTAAAAATGTTATTTCATGAGATTCATCGAAACTTAGTTTTTCTTCGCATCTGAAAGAACTTTGTCAAGTGGCCTCCCCGACCGGTTGCCTGAGAGTTGCGATTGTTGACTTTAGAGTGCAGAAATCGTGAGCTCACTGTCCTCCGAGTTTAGTCTAATCGTGCCGGGCCTTTGTCTGTCTCGCAGCAACAGTAATCGTCAGAGGCAGAAGTAATTTTTACACAAAATTCACCAAACACAATTCACGCCTTGGCTAGTTACAAGTCCCTTTGACCCAAATTTCACACCAAACAAAGGATCTTCCGAAAAAAGATCCGAGTCCAGTTAGAAATGATGGCAAAGGCATTGACAAACGTAGAAAAGCATGAATCGGCCAGCGTCACTTGGAATGATTATGGGAGGTTGTGGGTGCATTTTCCCACAATTTGACCCCATTACACACGGACACGGAGTTCGGTGTGATGACGAGACGATGAGACGAGATCGAAACGTCAAGTCAGTCTGGAGCAGGACTCCGTGCGGAAGTGAAATTGAATGGCGTTGCGGTACACTTGAGCGATCCAGACCTTGTAAAGAGCGCCGAAAGCCCCAGCTTAAAGGGGAGACCTCTAAAATGCATATGACCCTTGCGCCATTCGCTCTTGAAGCAATCTCGATTTTGAAAGAAGTGTTGCAATTCAGACAAATCCTGCAAGAGCGTAAACATTTTTCAACTGAACTGACACTAACTAGGGAACATACAGAAAGAAGGTGATTTTCTGAAAAGACATCGAGTGTTGGGCTTTTATTTCGAGGCAAGAAAAGTCAAGCGGAATGGAGACCGAATGAAGAGTGCCTTGTGGTTATGGTTGTGGTTGTGGTTGTGGTTGTGGGTTGAGTGGAATCAAAAAAGATAATGGGTTGAAATGCGGCTTTCCGTGATTTGATTGCCTTCTTCTACCTTGTACCTGTACAGATGGGCGTGAGAATGATGCCGAAAGAGGACGTGAATGTGGTCCTATCAGCTTCCGTGCACAAATAGCCCAGAGTTTTGTAGTGCTGTATGAAGAGAGACTGAATTTCCAGTTCATGTTGAATAATATGAGATGTATTCAGCCTATTTTGGGTGGAAACTGCAGTCCACTGGTGCCGGGAGGAGAACAACTCTTGGGAAAGCATGACCATGTGAAATTGAATGGAAACATCCGCTCAACTCATATAATTGTGGGAAAATTCTACTGCCAGTCCTTCATCACCCTAAACGAAATAGGGTGAATACATCTCATTACACTGATTTACTGCTAGTCTCGAAACTCTATTTACAAATGAGGCACATGTTGAATAAGTCAATGTAGAAGTGATAGTGAATTGTCTCAAAATCCGATAAGTAGGTCTCACGATGTCATTTTCGCACATCACATTCTGTGGTGGTATTGACTTCTATTTGCCATATCAATCAACAACATTATTTATTTTTCGTCTATAAGTAGGTTTTTAGACTATCGATATACTATTCATACTTACGAGTAGTATTGCGCAAAGGTTGAGCTACAGCTCGTTCATCATCTTAAATGAAATAAGGCCATTACAGCTGATACGCTCTATAGTCTCAAACTCCTACTTGTAGACGATATTAGTAGTGTGCAAACACTGGGCTTCTGAGGCTGTGAGTAGATCTGTAGTAGGGAGCCTAGTCAGTCTGGGGTTTTGTATGGCTCCGCAAAATTGCT